CTTGGAACGAGCTTTACCTACGTATAAATAAAAACTTCTAGAAAGGCTCATTTAGTATACTGACTGATACTTGCAGGTTAAAAAATATCATTTTCATATCGAAGCGGCCACGTAGGCAGAAGCCTAAGTACCAGGGCTCCGCGGTAGGTATAAGGCGTTTATGACGCTTTGTTAGTCCGATTTTTGGATTGCCTAAGGTTAGTATAACTGGGCAGATAGTTCTACAATCTTGACAACCTGCACACAAACAAGCGATCGTACCGGCTAGTTCTGGATGTACGAATCTCGACATGATTATGATAGGCGGTCGAAGTCAGGCGGGTCTGCCTAGCAGGCTCATCGCGCGACGGCATCCTGGAGGGGAGTCCTGAATAGCAAATCCTGTTGACGTAGCGGTAGACGAGCATCGATCAAGGACAATGCAGTCAGGGCGGCAGCATCCGAAACAAGTGAGCAGTATTCGAGACTAGGAGAAGAAACATCCAAGCTTTGTCTCAGCAGCTGTAGCGATCCCTAAGGTGTATTCTTGCCAGGTCAGGTTCCGTCGTGCTGTGTCAAATGTCATCATTTTTCAAACCTCAAAATTTATTTGCCTCCACCCTATAGTAAGCAAAAAACTATTAGAAGCTTTTCTCAAATCTAGCTCACAATTTCATCATCGTCTTTTAAAATGCCATTTCCAATTATTCCCATTCGATTTGGCGCCCATGAGACAATTGGCTTGTTAATCTTCGGCAACGTATTTAGAGTGGCTTACTCTATCTTCGAGACACAGCTGTGGGTTTTCTAAGCCTTGCCTTATTGGCAATATTAAGGTCATAGCTCGAACATCGCTTCCATAAGATCCGCCACTAAATCAATTCTTTTATAAAGGGTCCCAACTAGCAAATTAGTGTAAGCTTTAGGTAAAAGAACTGTTCAGCCGTAAAAGCTCTGTATTGTTGTTGCCTGAATACCAAAATGCTGGCTTAATGTTGTGTGGAATGCAAATTTGCTTTCTGCAGCATATTTGCTTTAAAATGAGGTGTTTAGAATATTCTTATAGCATAGTTATACAACACCTTATAGGACAAATTTTGAAAGGTTGCATATACGTTTATATACAACCATTTTATACGGCATAATTGCGCGGTAATGAAAATAGTTTTGTTGTGGCATCGATGGTAACGTTTATACAACACACCCGAGCCAACGGAAGCACTTATACAACTGTCGTTTAATAACTGTTAAAGGTTGTACATCTGCAACAATATTACAACTTTTATAGTACAAAATTGCTGTGCTCGGCATCCACATTTGTTGCTAAATATGTTGGTATACAACTTCACCATAAGCTAACTTTCTGCTGTCATATTTTTAGTTAAAATGTCATAAACAATATTTTAAGACATGCATATTGCTTTAAAAGGTTTTATCAACTGTTCAAACAGGACATATAGATCTGGTACAAATCCTGGGTAAATCATTCGACTCTGTCTTTATTTCATTTCAGAGATTTGTCAAATTGTTGTATAAGACATGCAGATAACACCAAAATATTCTAATAATCCAAAGGAAACATGGACGATTCCATGATTATACATAACCACCCGCCATATTGGGCAAAAATATATTCCTCTCTTAAAAATTAAATAATTGTGTTTCAGTTCGACATTGCAGATAAAAAGGGATAAACATTAGTCTAATTGTGTCTAAATATAGGATTTGTGGAAGATTTAACGAAGATAAGTTCAGTTTTTCATCTTAAAGATCTAGACATACTTTTGATCATTATTAAAATATGAATCAAATACGAAGCCCGTAGAAATTGCGTAACTACTTTGAACGATAATCACAATAAAATTTGCTGCGCAATAGCCCTATATCACAGTGTAGAAGTTTATCATATACCTGTGTATGAAATTCACAACGGCCGATATGTAAGTAAACAAGATGACTGTAATGTGTTAGTTATATATTCTTCACTTTGCCTATACAATATATAAGAAATAGTTTGGTTGCATAAAGTAGAATCATGTAACAGAATAGTTGTATAGTTGACAAAAATTGAATCTTGCACTGACGCAAATGTTCTATAGCAGCTGCAACAGGTTTACACTTTTGTTGTATAACTGTTACCTGCAGCCCTTATACAACCTCTTAAATGACTGAAGTGTCCTATTAGGTTTGCCCATTCCGCTTGTATAGCTGTTCTAAGAGCGTTTTGCCAATGTTCTTACAGCATACAATGCTGTGTAAGGAAGACTGTATAATAGTTCGTGCAACTCTAATTGGAGTGATAGTTGTTAGTTGGGTTATCCCTAGAGTTTGGACTTTCCTTTACATAAGTCGTCTATATTTTGTAACACATATACCAAAGCCTTAATATAGCCGATATATCAAGTTCCGAACTCAAAATTAGTCATTTCGACCTTGTCAACCCCCCTAGCCGGCCCTCCTACTTCGAATTGTATGATGCTTTGTGGTTCTATGACTATGTGAGTCAATATCCAAATTAAACCCCGCGCGGTGTGTAGACTAACACAATTTATAATCAGCCTGGATTTAAAAACCAAAATGGGCACATTTCCGGAATGTGGAAAGTCTAGTAACTACATAGCTACTTTAGGAATTCCAGAGGGATTTAACTTGAGACCTTTATTGTTTTTAATCTTTACTAATGATTTGTCGCTTAAGATTAAATGTCATCATTTATTTTTCGCTGATCATTTAAACATTTATAATAGTATCCTTCAAAATAATCTATAAATTATTATCAATTCATTGTGTTCCAAAAACCTCCTCGCACTAAATGTGTCAAAACGTAAAGTAATAACGTACTGTTTGAAACAAAAAGTTAATATTATAATTAGGTAAGGCTAGAAAGAAGTGACAGTTAAAAGATCTAGGAGTTACATTTGATACCAAGTTCACTTTTAATGATAACATAATTAACATTACTAGTCACGTCCCTGGAATGTTGGAACAATCGAGCTTCTATATATAACATATATCAGAAGCAAACCTGAATATGTATTACTTACCTTGGCACCTATTTATCAAAACTCTGTTAGCAGATTGGAATCTACTCAACGAAGAGCTGTAAAATATACGTTTTCCAAATGCACGGGTTTCTATCCACAAAGAGGCGTCGACCATAATGTATTGCTCAAAACTATCTTGAAGTATGCCGAAATATTTCTGTTCTAACTTTTATGTTCAGTTTACTCCACAATAAGATTTATTGTGCATATATTTTAAGTAACATAGGTTGTAATGCTCATCATTTAGATAACCGTAATTCTGCTACATTTTACTGTGACTTCTGCCACATCAATCCTTTGTTCAAGTCTCCTGTTCATAGGAAGTGTGCACTATTCAACAGTATTAGTAGCTGTGACAAATTTATTGACACCAAGTCTCGCCTTATGGAGCTTTACCTGAAGTTGTTGATAATAGAGAGTAGATTGGCGAGAACGGAGGAGAGCCCTAGATACATGGCTATTAAGTTTTTCAACAGACTCCCCAACAATTTGAAATCACAACCACTGAACACTTTTAAAAGAACAGTCAAACAGTTTTTATTGGAGAAAGCTTTTTACTCTATTGAGGAATTTTTAATGTGTGAATGTCTTGTTTGATTTTGATCATTGTTATTTGAATGTCATTTAATGGTTTGTCCTTTATTTCGCTTTTTTATATATACATATATGTTTTATATTTATAAATTCTATCAATAAGCTAATTTTATTTATCTGTATCCATATTTGGAATATACCATATGTGGTACGAATATGTGTGCGTCCACACTAACATGATTTGTTATTAGCTTTTGTAGTACTCTGACTGACTTATCCTATATCACATCTGTGATCATACAGGACTAATAAATTATTATTATTATTATTATTATTATAACGGGAGACAATGACAATTGGAAACGCCCTGTATTTTTTTGGCAAGTAAAGATATCGCTCCGAGATTGGGACTGGTTTAGTTAGTCATTAAGAGGCATGTCTGTAAAGTTAAATGAGTTATCTACCCCTTCCGGTTTAACCGGAAGTGACCTTCGTTTTTCAATTGTAAACCTGCGTATTTTATTCCGTAATCGTACTCTACGGAAAATTTCCTTTCCAACGATTATCACATGTGACATTTTTGTTTTAAAGTGGTGGCTCTGTAAAGGAATTTGTGAATAAGCTAAAATCCGCCATATTGCTTACACGACATAAAAATATTTCAAACTGTCAACGTGGCGTGATCAACAAATGTCTATTAAAACTATAAATGACAGCTTGTCATTGTGTATTTTTCATGTTAGTATCTTGTTTGAAAAAAAAATCAGGAATTCACATTTATTTATTCAACAATTTAAGATGTTGGGATGATTTCAAATAGAATTTATTTGAAAGTAATAGTAGACTGTGGAAAACAAATGAAAGTCAATTCATAGCGTACCCATTATTGTTTAGTTATATGACGCTTGGCAATCTTCGTTCCACATAAATTTATTTTCCCTTATTCCGATTCCATAAAACTATCATTTCTATGGAAATGATCTTCCACGAAGATTGCCCTACTGTAACTGGTTTTGTGCTCAACTTCAAGAAGATAGAAATTTCCATTATCATACTTTGAGGTGTGATGAATCGCGTTTCATAAGTTTTGGAATATCTAATAAAAGTAATACACGTTACTGGGCAACTTCAAATCCACATTTGATAAGAGAAGGTGCCTTTCAGGACCGGTTTGGAGTGAACATGTGCCTCAGAGTTCTGGGAACCCGTATAGTAGGTCCCATATTTTTTGTGAAAAATTAAATGGGGGAGATTGTCTTAACTTTTTGCAAAATGAGATACAAGATTTCCTTGATGGTTTACCCCTGGCTGACCTTAGGGATTTTGCCCACAATATCTGTTAGATTTAGAACAGCGAATAACGGCAGCAATTAACACCTTGTCTGAAAATCAGAAATCATAAACACATGTCTCATCTCAATGTGTCACTTCATTTTGACTTGCCTTATTGCACTGAATCCACGTGTTCCTCGAGTTGTTGTTGAAATATTTTATTACTCCCTGCTGCAACTATTGTTGGGGTGCTGCTCCGTTGATATTCTTGGAGGATAACAGATTTTCCAGTGGCTAACATTTTTTCGGCCGTTACAGCGAAGAATTTTGACAAACTATTTGGCATCAATCATCTAGAATACAAGAAAGTGATACGACCATACGGGGTACTCAATGAATAAGAAAAAAGAAAACTGCTGATGTTGCTTCAGGTAAGTCTGAGAGTGCTAAAGTGGTGGTAACCAGACCAAGTGATGCACCAACGGAAACACCTAAAAACAGTAAACCCCTTAGAAGAACAAATGAGGAGCTAAAACAGGAAATAAAAATATTATGTGAAAAAGTTAATTCATACAGTCAGCTATTAGTAGAAAAAGATAGACTGACCGAGCAACTTGTGAACGAGAACACTAGATTCCAAGATCAGTTGAATTTATTGTCGACAAACGTTACTGAAAAAGAAACTGTGGTTGACGCGCTCAAGAAACTGAATACCAGACATAATTGAAAAATCAAGTATGACAAGCTATTCACAAATTGTAAAAATTACCTATGCTACAAAAAGGCAAGGAAGTCCCATTGAAAACCATAGTGATTATACCAAGCCAGCAACAAACAAGCCTCAAGACGCGTAAAGATCTAGCCAAAAACTGAAGCTTGCCTGAACTTCAAATCAAAATTGACGACGTGAAGAATTTTAGAAACGGTGGTGTGGAAATTAAGGTCCTCAAAAATAATCATGCCGAGTTAAAGGAAGAAATTGAGAAAAAATTGCCAGCATCATACAAGGTGTCTGAGCCGAAAATGTTTAGACTTAAAGTCAAAATCGTGGGTTACCAAACAGATGAACTAATTATCGAAGAAGAGGTATTAGAAGACATCACAAGACAGAACCATTTTATAGAAAAAGAAGATATTGAGATAAATTTTATTAAGTGTATTGCACATAAAAAATTATATTATTTACGCGGAGTTCACAGGTAATTTATTTAAACAAATTTTTGACGATTATAATGGAAAAATTCTATTAGAATTTATAAATGTATCTGTATACAAAAATAATGAAGTGTCTCAGTACACAAATTGTTTCCGATTTAATCATTCTGGAAAAAATGCCAAAATCCTAAAGTATGTGCTTAGTGTGGAGAAAACCATGACACCTCCTCTTGTAAGCAGGTACATTTGGAATGTTGCAACTGTTTGTATTCAAATCACCAGTATACAAAATCTTACAGTTCCGATCATCTTCCGACAGACAAAAATTGACCAGTATATGAATTCTTTCAACAAAGACATCTCTCACGAATTTAATTTTGACCATTTGAGAATTATTTAGAATACTCAAAATGTTTTCTAAATTATATACATTCAAATTATCTTAATGGCTGAGAGTAAAATACAAATCGGACACTTGAATGTACGTTCCCTCATGTCTAGTTTTGATGCTATTGTAAATTTTGATAACATTAGAAAATTTTTACGTATTCGCTGTTACAGAGACGTGGCTTAATGAAAATATTACTGATGATGTGGCTAACATTAGCAACTATTGTTTCTTGCGTTGTGGTAGAGAATCTCGTGGGGTGGAGTTGGAATCTATGTTAAATTAAATTTACGTGCTGAAAAGGTAGATATTCATACAAATTTTGGTGAGTATTTCTAAAGCATTTGGGTTAAAGGGGTTGCGAGTAAGTGTGAACTGTTAGTAGGTGTTTTGTACCGACCAACCTCTCAAAACATACAACATTGTGCTGATTTATTGTATAGTTTCCTAACCCAGCCTTTCGTTATATCATCATAACATCGTGATATTGGGAGATCTTAATAAGAAAATTTTTAATAACAATACATTCTCACTGAGTTTTGAGATCTTGGGGTTCACACAAATCGTAACAGGAGCCACTCATGTCACAGATACTGTAACATTAATCGATCCAATATTCTTAAATAATCCTGAAGCATGCAGTTATTCTTCCGTCATGGACATGAATGGTATTTCGGTCCTCAAACTCGTCTTTCTTCATTTTGATATTTCATCTTATAAAAGAAAACAAAAATTTATCACAATCAGGGATCTTAAACATTTCAGTGAGGATCATTTTCTTATCGATCTTTCTACATCGGGTATAGACGAATTATTTCCGAAATATAATATTGTCTATGAGAAGGTGATGCACATTACAAGCGTTATCGTAGAAATCTATAATAAACATGCACCTTTTAAAACTGTAAGAGTCAACAAGCCACCATCACCTTGGTTAAATAATGAACTGCGCACTGTTCTTGATGAAAAGAATACTGCACAAGCTTTATATAAAGCTAATAAGACCGTGGGCGCCTATAATAACTTCAAATCGCCTAGAAACTGTGATCTTAATATGATCAGGAGGGATAAAAAGACATATTGAAAATTTGGCAAATGAAAATGATTCAAGAAAATTATGAAAGTCTCTCAAACAACTTGATATAAATTTCCATAGTAAACCAACCCGTCCAGCAAGTTTTAATGTCCCTACCAAAATTAATGATTATTTTATGTCTGTTTATAGCTACAAACCTATTGATTCACTAGTTTGTAAGAACTATTTCAAATATAAATTAAGCTCTGAATATATCTTTCATTGAATAAGAGTAGTTCAAATGACGTATTACAGGCAATAGGAAGCATAAAATCTGATCAATCTGTCAATGATCCAGCTTTGCCCCTGCCAGTTATTCTCCATCACATCGTCCACATCTTTAACGACTGTTTGGAAAAAAGCTACTTTCCAGACACATGGAAATAAGCTCTAATTATTCCAATTCCTAAAAAAATGAAACCCAATGAGTGTAATGGTCTCAGACCTACCAGTTTATTACCAATTTTATCCAAACTTTTAGAAAAAAATAATAAAACTCCAATTGACCGTAGAAAAATTCTTTATACTTCCCGATACTCAATCCGGTCTTAAAAAAAAATATAATACAACATCTGCCTTACTTAATGTTACTCAAGTTATTGTTTTATCTTTGGCTTACGTAAGTTTGATCATGTATCAGCGAAATATTCCGTCCTAAACTGGTTACAAATTAATGACATGGTCAAGTATCACTTCACACTATCACAGTACTCTGCCTGAAATTATATTTTTTTATTTTGATCACATCGCCACCTTGATAGCTTAAAATATGTTTTGTTTTGTAAGCAGTATAGCGGAGCTCAGATTATTCACAAATTCCATTATAGCGCCGCCATTTCAAAAAGGAAATGCCACTGCTTTCCAGAAATCCCTCTTCAAAAATACAGCGTGTCTCATTTTCATTTCAGCCAGTATACTGTTATTCCTATGTATTTTTTTGTTTACTGTGCTTTGTTAATATTTATTGATATTTTATGCAGATGGGTGTCTACCTGTTGGAAATTAACTTACTATTATTCCTGCAGCAATAACGTGGTTATAGATCTGATGTTAGTACACCGAGAGCGTCAAGATCCTATGAATACTGGGCTAGTGTTCACTACATCACCGTCGTCCTCCATATTTCTATCAGAGCTGCAAAGGTTTGTTTATACCGTGCAAAAGCCGACTGGGTAGACACAGTAGAAGATACGTTTTTGAATGGAACAGAGACTACTACTCATCGTTGCTTCTCAAGGCGGTCCGGAGGACCTTAGCCTTTAGGTCATAGTCGCTGTAATGGCAGTGTGTTTCGTCAGTCTGTCAGGTCTGGTGGCCCAGAAATCAGAAGTTGGGAACAGAGACAAGTTCAAGCAGCAATTACAAACAAAACATGTGACAGTGCAGTGGAAATGTAGTACAAAACAAATAGTGAGGGTTCTTCTTCAATTCCTTCTTTACATGTTCGGTGCTGTTTTACCGCAAATTGCATTTGTTACTTCAAACGTAGTTGTCCTATCTTTCTGGACACTTTGTGTGTGGCACACACAAACTCAATGCGCCTTTAGCCGGAATCTATCAAATAAAGGGCGAAATCCTTTTCCACTCTCCTCAGAATAGACGGACAGTGAAATTGCCAAGAACAATAGCTCAATCCTCCATTAGATCCATCAATGCGGTGCACAATGCGGATGCTCCGAACATTTCCATAGAAATCGTGGAAAATATCCGAAGTGCGGAAAAGGTAAACGGATACCGGTTCGCATAACAATTGCCGCAGCAAACAGCTGCTTCGGATGGAGCTTGGATGGAACGCAGTTAATACATTGTCAGATGTGCCAGGACCGGATTGACAGGTAGACAATACAGGCTGTTTCATAAGGAGACTCTTTGGACTATTCTGAACATACCGTTCCGCGTCACAGCGTCAGAGGCCGCGAACATCTACAATCGTGAGACTAGAGATGCCAGTAAGATCACCCTATATATTTGACAAATCTCTGAAATGAAATAAGGAGAGAGTCGAATAATTTATTCAGAGTTTGTACCGTACCAGATCTATATCTTCTGTTTGAAAAGTCCTAAAATATTAGAAAATTAGGTTATGGAGAAGTTGTATACCAACATATTCAGCAGCAAATATATGCCGAGCACAGTAATTTTATACTATAAAAGTTGTGACATTGTTGCACAATGTACAGATTTTAACAGTTTCCAAACAACTGTTGTAAACAACAAGGCTCGGGTTTGTTGTATAAATGTTACCATGGGTGCCACAACAGGACTATTTTGACTATCGCGCAAATATGCCGTATAAAATAGTTGTAAGACGTCTATGCAATGGTTCGAAATTTGTCCTATAAGATGTCGTATAACTTACTGTGCTACCACCCAACTAACAATTCTCTCTCCTATTAGAGTTGCAAGAATGATTATACAGTATTCCTTACACAGCATTGTATACTGTAAGAATATTCTCAAAACCCTCTTAGAACAGCTATACAAGCGGAATGGGCACACCTAATAGGACACTTCAGTCATTTAAGAGGTTGTATAAGGGCTGCAGGTAACAGTTATACAACAAAAGTGGAAGCCCCTTGCAGCCGCTATAGGACATTTGCGTCAGTGCAAGATTCAGTTTTTGTCAACTATACAACTATTCTGTTACGTGATTCTACTTTATTGCAACCAAACTATTTCTTATGTATTGCATAGACAAAGTGAAGAATATATTACCAACACATTACAGT